TGCCAGGTCCAAGTGCTCACGGTTGCTCCTCTGCTCTGCTGATCCTGCCTTGGGGCAGAAGACAGGGCACAGAAAGCCTTCCCAGGTACCTCACCCAGTGCTCTCAGCTGGGGAGGAGGGAATGATTCAGCCCAGCCAGCTTAGACAACAGTGCAAACACTCCCCCCTGTGCTCCCTTCCTGGGTGGGCAACAGCAGAGGACCTCTGCCTGTCTCTGATAGGAGAAGCCTGTGCTGTTGGGCTTCAAGATTTGTCTGTGAGCAGTTTCTCATCTCCATTTAGACTAGACACAGCCACGCAGGATCATCTGGCTGGAAACAGTAGAGAGGGCTCAACTGAGGATAAGTAGGGACCAATTCTTCATCTTCTCCGTACAAGACTAGTGGCTGTCCCATGGAGCAACTGCTCTTGGCTTGAACCAAAGGGAGGAGTCCCTGTGCAGAAAGTGCGGTTGAGCTGTTGAACTCTGACACAGGAGGCTGTGGAAAGAGGGATTTTGGACTGAAGACTTCCACTGAGGCTTACTAGGGGAAAAAAAAAGCCCTACATCTACTTCAGGAAGCCCTGAGCTACAAGAATGGAAAGTCAGAGTGGCTTACCAAAGGCTTAGTCTGCCCCCAGTGCCTGCCTTTAGCTGTGGCCTGGGCAGGGCACTGGGCCCGCACAGCAACTCTCAGATTACCTTCTCGTAAGGAGCCTGGCACAACAGGACCCCTACCAAGCACAGAAAATGGGCAGTAACACCCTACATGAGAGTAGAAGGTCCAGACCTGAGTGCTGGTAGCTAACTCACCAGCCCACAGACACCACTGCGTTTCTCTTCCCACACAAGCAATCCCAGGACAGCCTTAACCACGTTCTTCCACAGCAGGGCCAGAACAGGGATGTTGAGCCAGTCTTCACAAGGAGAGACCTTCCTCCCCTGCTGCAGGTCTGCCTCAGCCCCACAGCAACATGAGCTGAGCCTTGATTCAGGTGCCACCAGCGAGACCTTCCAAGTGACTTCATGCAGGGAGACAGGCAGGTCTGAAGGCATTTTATCAGGGCAGTCCTCCCCAGGCCAGGAAGGGCAGGGGGGACACCAAGCTTTCAAGACCAACCCAGCCCTGGACACCCCTAAGCACAAGCTCTGCACCCTTAGGAGCCTCTTCAAGGCTCTCAATGTTGATCCCGAGCCCACAACCAAGGGCAAGACACCTTCCCCCAGGTGAAAAACCAAAAAAAAGCTACCTCCAGCTTCACCCTCCAGCAGAGCTGTGGAGAACCAGCCGTGGCTGCCAGAGAGCAAACCCAAGCCCCACAGCTACTCACCATGGCTCTGAACCACCTGAGCTCCTCACCACAATCACAACCTCCTCCCTGAGAGCACAACCTTCCTGCCTCCCTCTTGGGCCTTTTATAGCAGGTAGAGCAGGGCTCTCTGTTAAAAGGCTCCCTCCTCGTTCAGGTGCCTGCTGACAAAGGGTTCAGGTGTTTCTGGCCTTGGAGAGGGAGCCATGTGGGGAATTTAAGGTGCTTTGAAGGACTTGCACCTGCAGACTCCTCCAAAGGGAATTTGGAGTTTGTTTGGCTTTTGAGTATTTGTTCAGCATTGCTTTCCCCATGATGTCTAACAGCCCTTTCTGTGAAATCAGGAAAAGAGCTTTCAGTGGGTTTTTTGGGGAAGATTATCTGGATATATTTATTTCTTTAGTTAAAGAATGAGGATCATTTTTAAGACTTTTTTGCAATTGTCAGGGCTGGAAATGTGCTTTCTACTTTCCATCCTCCTTTTCCAAGTGCAGACAGCACGTCTGTTAAATGTCCTGGGGACTGACAGGAGTTGCAGGCTGGGGTTCCTGCCTTGGGGTGATGTCATGGGGCTGGGATGGCTTCTCCAACACTGGTGTCACAAGGAAGCCAGGCTCTCCCAACTCCAGGGCTCCTCAAACACAACCCCACTACCTTGGCAGTGCCTGATTTTTGCAGCATCTCCCACTCTGGCCCCAGGCCATGGACAGTGCAGAGACCAAAGCTCTCCCCAGCCTGCCCCATGGAGCTGGGTCCCACAGCCAGAGGGGAGGGCAGGACCTGTGGACTCCTGGCACACTCTTGGGAGAGGGGACTTCTCTAAAATAGGGGTAACAGCTGTTAGGTGGCAAAAATTCATCGGAGATGCTGAGGCTGGTACGTGATGCGGAGATGATGGATGCCCTGGAGGACCTGGGACAGCCATGGAGAGAGGTGACAGTACATGGCAGAAGGCCAGGACTGAGAGGCACCAATGAGGCCATCACACTGCAAATGCACATGGGTTTTATTTTCCATGCAGCATACACAGAAGGAAGAAACTCACTGACACAGGATGTCCCAGAGGCCAGAAACACAAGTTTTGAAATCTGATCTAGATTAAGACATGGGGATTGGCTCTACGGGAGCTACTAAACCTCATGATCTAGTGCCTTGGGCATGAGCGGGATACCCTCTGTCCCCCCCTCTTCTTGCATCTGGTGGGAGGCTTTGGGACCTGCCAAGAAGGAGGACAGAAAACAGGACTGCCCCAGGGCTGTAACCTGCAGAAAATGACCAGGAAGACAAAGGTCCATGAGACAAAGAAAAAGAACACAAGAGGTACAAGGAGCAGAGAAAAGCGCCCATCCATCAGCCAATGGAGTTGGGTCTGAGACTGGGGGCAGTTTCTCACCCCCCTCTGAAGAACAGGGTTGGCTTTTGCATCTTAATGTGCTCCTGTCCATGTCATGAGTTGTGTTGAGGGTGATCCTCAACAGCACAGAGCTCCTGGGTGGCTGGGGGTGGCTCTGCTCCTGGGAAAGCTGGTCACAGCCCTGCCTGGCCCAGCTTAGAGCAGGGCTGGACATCCCAGGAGCAGGGCTGGACATCCCAGAAGTGGGAGAGAACATCCCAAGAGCAGGATGGGATGTCCCAGAAGCAGGACAGGATATCACAGGAAAAGGCCTTCATGCCACCAGGGATGGCTCCCTCTGGGTGTATCTGCAGCCTGAAGTGCATCTCACCTGCCTGCTTAGGGCTCAGCTCCTGATGTCACTCTCTGCAAGGCCACCGTGTCCCCGGTGCTCTCTCTCCTGAGGTTCATGGGCAAACTCTGCCTGTGGTCACTGCCAGAAACCAGCTTGGTTTTTCCAGCCAAGCCCCCATGGATGTGGACGTAGGTGCCTCCTTCTGGCCAGTTGCTCCACGTCCGTTGGGTTACACTGCCTGAATCCCTTCCTCAGCCAGATGTGCGTGGGGCCTCCTTGATCCCAGGATGGGGTTCAAGACCTGCTGTCCTTGGGGGCTGCCTAAATCACTGCAGCATCTGATTCGCTCTGATGTGGGTGAAGGAGGCTTTTGAGCGTTCGCACGTGGAGGAGGAGAAGGAGGATGAGAGAGTTCCCGGAGGCCAGGGAAGACCTGTCTGCTTGGGGGAAGGGTTACAAAGAGGCTGGAAGGGACCCAGCAGTGGAAGCAGAAGGATATGTTGGCCAGAGCGAGCCTGCAGCACCTGCAGAAACCACTCTTTTTGAGTGCAATACCGAGAGTTTGGGTTTCATCCCTGCATGAAAAGGCAGGAAAGACCTAATCCTCACCTGACCTTTACAAAACTCCATGTATCACCCCAAACAGCAGCACTGTCCTTCCCAGGCACGGCGGCCTTGGCTCTGCACGCTCCTAGACGCAGGTGGGTGCTGATGGAGATTTCAGTGCTTCTATTTGCCATGCAGCTTCCTCAGGAAACCTGTCTCCTCCAACTATGTGTCAGCCCCATCCAAGCAACCCCTGGTCTTGCTAGACAGAGGCTGAGAAGGAGGATTAATTTTGGAAGCGTTTGTCCAAGCCAGTGCTGGGTGTGGGTGACACTCTCCCGCAGGCATGCAGCTGGGGAGGAAGGATGTCTGCTGTCCCCATCACTTGTTATCAGCTGTTACCTGCTGTCCCTGTCTCAGCTTTGCACGCGTAAGCACAGCCTGGTGCCAGCAAACACCTTGGGTTCATTCACCCTCGTGGTGTCTCTTCAACATTAATGGCCTTCCCTGAAGGGGAGCAGAAGAAGGACCCAGTGTGAGCCCCAGGGATGCGACGTTTGATCTCCAGACACTACCACAGGGCTGAGATGTTCCCCTTGTCTAACCTGGTGCTGCGAAAGGACCCCAACCAGGGCTGGTGCAGGTCCCCACGGCAGCTGACGGTGGGGAAAAGCCTGTTTCCAGCCTAGGCCAGTATACTTTACTGGAGCTCACTGGGCAGCACAGGGGAAAGCCTCTTCAACTTCCTGCTCGAAGCAATGATTACTCCCTTGTCTCTGAGCAATCCCTCTGTCACTCCTTGCTGTGCCAAGCCTCCTCTAGACAGCCCTGTGCATCAGAAAGGCTGAGTCTGGACAACCTGGGGACACCTCTGTCCAAACCCACAATGGGACGAGACGGTGGGTACCCGGCCAGGTCTGACCTTAATCTGCCTGACCTTGTGTGAGCGGGCACGTGCACCCCAGTTTCCCTCGGTGTAAAATGGTGACAACGACTACGTCCTGCTGAGGTCACTATACCAGTGGGGGATGGATGTGTAGGTGTAATGTAGGTGCTGTGCAGTGGCAGCTGGATAACACACCAGTGTTTTGACTGCTGCTGAGCAGGGCAGCATCCAAGGCTGTTTCCCCAACCTTTCCCCAGTAGGCTGGGGGTGGGTAAAATCTTGGGAGGGGATACAGCCAGGAGAGCTGATCCAAACTGACCAAAGGGATATTCCATCCCACAGGACGTCTGCTCAGCAATATAAGCCGGGGAAAACAGGAAGAAGGGGGGGACATTCGTTTCATGTTTGTCATCCGGAGCAACCGCTATGCATGCTGGAGCCCAACTTCCCAGAAAGTGGCTGGACATCGCCTGGCTGATGGGAAGTGAGAATAAGATCTTTTGGTTTGCTTTTGCTTCATTAAACTGTCGTTATCTGACCCACATGCCTGTTGTCATATTTTCTCTCCCCTGTCCAGCTGAGGGGGTGAGAGTGATAGAGTGGCTTTGGTGGGCACGTGGCATCTGGCCAGGGCCAAACCACCACAGTAGGTTGTTGGGCTATAAGAATGTATAAAGCTATATACAGTGTACATAAAGGGCCATATAGTCCAAGGCTATGGCAGATTACAACAAGGAATGACCTCACCACCTTAACTTGGGGCTGAGGCAGGAGGAGGTCATTGCACAGAGATGCTGTGGGTATGTTGGTGTGGTGTCTGCTGGAGATGTGGGCTACGAGGGTAGGATGCTGAAGGGCCTGGTTTTGCTTTTTGGGCTTCAGCTGAATTTCGGTCCTGAGTCCCCAGGCTACGGGTCAGCTAGGAGCCTTGGCCACCTGAGCATGGGGTCGCTGGGGCTGAATTTGGTTGTGTTGCCTCCTCTGGGTGCCCAGTGAACAGCGAGGATATGCCTCCAGCCATGCCTCTGCAGGTAGCTGGTGGGTCCATCTGCCAACCCTTCAACCAGAGACCTGTCCCCTCTCAATGTCCACCTGGAGTGCTCCCCACGGCCATGCCGTGGATGGGGCTGGTGGGAACTGCTTTGCTGCTCTTGGCAAACATCTCCTGGGCCAAATTTCTCTCCACCTCCCACACCTGCTAAACGCAGGGATGAAGGCCAAGGGGTGCAGTTTCAGTTTGGAGCTGGGCTGGGGGGTGAAGAGAAAGGGAGATTTAGAGGAAGGGATAAATACTCCAAGGTGAAGGGGTAGGAACTTGGTGAGCTGGGGCTCAGTGGAGGGTGAAAAAGAGTGGGGTGAACAGGCATGGTCTGTGTACGGGGAGCTGAAGCTGTACCAGCTGCAAAACTGGTACAGAGGTCCACCAGGAAAGGGAGAGCAAGAGAAAGGTGGGCAGGGGTAGATTGGGCAACGTGGACAGACCCCATGGGGTGTGTCAGGAGCAGCCAGGGAAGCACCTGCAACTTTTGGGGTCCAAACTCACCTGAGGCCATGGGATAGTTTAGGGACAGCTTGCGTATGGGGATTTGGGAGGGAGTAGGATCTGGATCGTGGTGGGAACAGGGCTGTGAGGTTGAGCTGGAGGGATGTTTTGGAAAGGCTACAGGCCTAGACAGACCCAACCGAGCACCTGCTGGAGGTGATGGGAGAACAAAGCATTGGAAACTCAAGAGATTGTAGCTTTAATTAGGGACCTTCTCGAGGCAACATGTACCCTTGCCCTGCTGCGGACACAAGCCTCTTCCCCACGTGTGGAAATGTCCAGGAGGAGGGATGGAGGACATTGGGAAGAAGCGAAGGAAGAAGAAGAGATATGAAAGTTAGGTAGCTCTATGGGTCAAAAATGTACAACACTGATATACACGGCCTTCAGTCCCCTCTGACCAGCAGACTGGGGCCGGATGGTGGCCCCACACAGCCAGCCCTGCTCCGAGTCCCCCCCTGCCCAGTGTGGGGTCACTTCCGCCGCCCAATTTGGGCCATGAGGTGCGCGTTGGCGGCGGCCTTCGCCCGCAAGTTCTTGGCTTTGGCGATGTTGAAGAGGATGTTCATGATGTTGGTGGGGACGTCGAGGGAGAGGGTGACCTTGGTGCGGCGGTCGCTCTTGGCCCGGTTTTGGTACGTCTTTCCCTTCACCTGGGCCTGGGAGACGTATTTGTAATGGCCTTCCCCCGGGAACGTCCTTTTCCCCATCTCTTCATCCACTGCGAACTCCCCCTCCTCCTCCTCAGATGCCTCCTCTGGTGATGGGGAGTCAAAGCTGCGCTTGTCCAAGACGGCGTTTTCCTCCGGCTGGCTCTTCTGGGCTTCGGCGAGGGCCGCGTTGAGGCAGCTGAAGATGGAGGCGGTGTTGTAGAGGCGGAGAGCCCGGCTGGTCTCGGTGGCACAGAGGAGGGCGAGGAGGAGCAGCAACCTGGCGTGGGGCATTGCGGTGACCTGTCTGGTGGAGAAAGCAAGGGGAGGGAAGAAGTGGGCACGGGCTTCCCGTGGGGCCCAGGGCAGAACATCGTCACTCCCAAATCCTCCCACATTCCACGGACCTGGGTTCCCCTCCGAGGTTCTGCACTCTTGGCTTCACCTCCCAGGTCTCCCTATTCCATCTAACAGTTAGGACAGGTGGGAATGAGTTGTCCTGGGGCCTCCTCCTCTAAGGTGCAACCCTTTAGCCTTTGGTTTTGGGGTGCTGGGTGGGAGGTGAGATGTCTAAGGTGATTTGCAAGGCTGCAGCCTCCAGGGAGGGGAAGATTTGGCCTTCCCTTTACTAAAACACAGCCACCTGCTGCAGGAGAGCTGTGGTGCTGGGTGGGAGGTGAGATGTCTAAGGTGCTTTGCAAGGCTGCAGCCTCCAGGAAGGGGAAGATTTGGCCTTCCCTTTACTGAAACACAGCCACCTGCTGCAGGAGAGCTGGTTTTACTGTGGGTACCTTCTTGCCTGGGGCAATCTCGTTGCAGTCCCCATGCGGCCCTCTCCACCTTGCTAATACCTCCATGGAGTAACGGTGGGTACCATCAGCTGCTGTAAAGACAGGTTTTCCTTTCAGCTCCTCTCTGATGAGCCTGAAGCCACCAGAGATCTTTCTGTGCTCTTCGAAGCCAGAAATTGCCTGTCTACCCACTCACACAACTCTGTCTGAAAAGGGCATGGAGAGTAGGGGCCAGTCAGCCCCAGTGTTGGGGGCTGATCTTCCACCCGTCCAGTGTGATGGCCCCATGTCCCCTCTCCAGCCCTGGCCTTGGGTGCTCCAGAGTTGCCCGTTGCCCCATGGCTCCATCCCCAAGATCCTCCTCTACCCTGGGTGTAGGATAGGCTGCCCCACCTGATGGCACACTCGGTGCGCAGTCCTCCTGTGGACAGCTCTGCCTGGGGACCTAGGGACGCATCCAAAATTGCAGCACACCATCATCGCTCCCTGCTTGAAATACAGTCATTTTGGGGTCTTGCAGGCGATGAAAACCTCGGGATAACCCTCCTGCTCTGCAAAATCCCCTGGTGTCTGAGTCCTGCCTCTCTGGGAAGTGACCCATCTCTCTGTGTACCCACCCAACCACTCAGAAAGTCCACAAGGGATCTCCCGGTGGAGGTCTTCGCCCCTGTTGAGGTCAGACAAATGTCCCCAGGGCCAGCCCCGAGGGCACAAGAGCCCTCCAAGTGCTTGGAGCTGTCCTGACATTCCCAATCTTCGGGCCCCATCTTGTGGCAAACACATCTCATAGCAAGCTCTGGCTGGTGGGGGGGGACAGTCCCCAGGGGTGTGGGACCCTGCCTGGGGCTGGGGTTTCACTGCTGGTTTAGGGCTGTGAGCTGCTAAGGTATCTCCCATGGGAATGGGAGCGTGGAGGGGCCAAGGAGGCTGGGGGAAGGCCCCTGGGAAGCTCTTGCAGAGCAGGATGGCTCCCGCAAGTCTCCATGGATGTCCGTGTCTTGGGGCTACCGCTGGGGATGGAGGCTGTGCCTTGCTGCACGATGGCCTACTGGGTGGGGGACATGTCCCCACACCGACCCAAAACCAAATCCAATCACTCGTCCCCAGGAGCTGTCACCCTGCCGCCACTGAGCCGCGGTCCCTGGAACTTCGGTCACCTTGACTCTGCCCTTCGCCGTCCCGTGGAGGGGGGCGATTGGGGCAGGTGGTACAGGCGGGGTTGGAGGGAGAGTCGCTCGACTTCCACTTCTTCGCCTCGCTCTCCCCTGCACAACACCCCACAGAGCTCCCCCAGGGAAGAACTTGTCCCCTTCCCGCCACCCCGCATCCAGCCGCGAGAGGAAGGACGAGCAGCAGCCACGGCACGACCCAGGGCAGCACCGGCAAAGCCGTCGCAGTAGGACGGGGGAGAAAACCCCTTCCCAGGCACGCAACCTCCATGCAAGGGCCTGACACCCTCCTTCCTCCAGCCCCAAATCAGACATTTAAATCCTGATTTTTAGGTTTTTTCCTCGCAAAAATCTTAACAGGATGAAGATCTTTCTCCCAACGCAAACCCTCCCTCTTTGCAGCCGCATTTCAGCCCCAGATGAAGCAGCTCCCTCCCCCTCTCCATGGCCCCAAGAAGCTCCTTGCAGCCGCTACTAGCAGGTTGGGGGGCTCGGGGCATGAATTTAGAAATGGCTAAATTTCTCACCCCTGGCTGCAGCCCCTGCTCTCCTGGGGACACTGTTTGGCCCCGAGCTGCTGGGTGGAGAATGGGAATGTCTTTGAAAGCCCTCACATGGCTGCTGGGAGAGAACTGAGCTGGTTTGAGCTGCCCCTGCCCTCTCCGGAGTCACGGAGCAGCATCTTCACTTTGCCTCTCCCCGACAGCTATTTCGTGACTGAAATGAGTGGCTCGGCCCCGTCGCTGGCTCGGGCTCCTTCTGTTTAGCAAAAACTCTTTGGGGACCTCAGCCGAGCGAGGGGAAAGGCAGAACACGGGGAAAATGTGGCTGACCCAGTGCCTGGTTTTCCCTGTCCTCTGCTGTGGATATCCTGGCAAAAAGAGCAAAAATCAAGGCAAAGCAGCAAAAAAACGCAGCAGCCAGCTGTGCTGGCTGGAGAGAACGAGCGGGTATTTTGGGGTGGGGTTTTTTTTTTTGCATGTTTTTTTGTGCCCAGGCATGACAGAAAGTTTTTTCGGACCAGCAAGCAAGCTGGAATTGGGTTTCTTCCCCTCTAAAAAAAAAAAAAAAAAAAAAAAAAAAAAAAAAGGAAAAAAAAAAAAAACCCCCCGCAGGGCACACAAAAAAC